TTGGACTTCCCTTAGTGCGGTTTAGGGTTCCTTGATCTGTCACAAAAACCTAAAGCTGCCAAGCGGTGAATCACTTTGTGCATATCAATGAGTAAAGTGGCGTGACCTGCTCGTTGAACGCGTACGATTTGACTTTTCCCATTGTATGTTTGTTTGAAGGCCAGAAAGTGGGAGAGCCTGGAGGAGCTGATAAGAAACCCGAGAAAAGTCGGCCTGTGGGAGCCTTTAGCTCGTGCGAAGAGTTCTCTCGTAGGTCGACGCAACAACCTTTTCACATGACAACCTTCGTGGCATAAACTCATCTGGCCTAAGTCCGTTGCCATCATTTTGTTGTCGGACTGCGCCGATGCTGTATTGACTCACGCTAGTGGTCACGATGGACGGTAATGACGAGTTAGCTATTCTAGGACCGGATACACAATTAAATGAAATTTATAACTTCTTGAATGTGGACGTGCTGTCTTCGTCCCACTTCGAAGCAACTTCCTTTAGTTGACCTGAACTTAGCTTCTCGAAGCTTGTTGAGGATCGATCGAAGGTGCTCTTGATGCGTCTCTGGAGACTTACTAGAAATAAATATGTCATATATGTAGACAACTACAAACTTAAAGATGTCATATATGTAGACAACTACCAACTTAACTAACTTGTTCATACATCTTTGGAATGTTGCAGGGGCGTTGGTCAGCACAAACGGTATGACCATGAACTCGTAGTGGCCAGACCTAGTCCGAGATGTTAGCTTGTGCCGGTCTTTGGGTTGTACCTCTATCTGGTGGTACGTCAATAATAACAACCTTGCACCCGATCTAACAAGTCGTCTATTTGGGCAACGACTCATCATTCTTGACGGTTATAGCATAAGTCCTCTAGAGTGTATGCACATACGCAGCTTACCTTCTTTCTTGGACATGAAGAGGACCAGTGCCCCTTAGGGTGAGGAACTAGGCTTAGTCCACCCCTTTTCTATCATCTCATCGAGTTGTTTCCTTAGTCTATCGAGCTCTTTGGGAAACATCTTGCAGATTGGGCCCTTTGGAGTCTTGCTGTCAGGGTCAATCTCGATCCGGTGCTTGATGTTCCTCTCCACTATACCGGTTGGACCCTCTCCCACATCTGTGAATTCCATCAGCAGATTCTGAACTTGGGGCGGCACAGCTTCCTCCTATCTACTGTCCTCACTAATCGGCCTATTGCAAACACGAGGGCACTCACTTCATCTCGGCCCAGGCTTGGCGGCTTGTGATTAGTTCGTCACGGATGCTTATAAGAGAGACCTAGAGGGACCCTAACACATACAGCCTCAGGACAATCAACTAGGAAGCCTTTGCCATAGGGGTCCTCAGACAGGAGGTGCCTGCTTCAACGTGCGTTTCTACCGGTCTATCAAAGTACGAGGCCTTGGTAGGAGCAACTACGACTCCTACTGCCCATTCCTGTTTGAAGGTAGGTGAATCTCCACACAAAAAGGAATGATGTGGTTGGGGTCTCCACACTCGAAACACTGTTTATATCTCACCCTCTGATGCTAGAGAGATTCTCGCATCTTCATTGTGACCCAGAGCCTTCCTTCCTCACGCCCTGGATGTTAAGGGTACCTACGCTGCACTCTAGATCCCTGGCCACTATTATTAGAGGGCATAGTTGCCCCTTTCTCCATCATGGTAAGCGGGGGATGCCTGACCACCTTGCAGGTACCATAGCCCCTACCTCCTGCTTGGAAGCCCCCTCGGCTTCCAAACCCTCGAGTGGCCCGTCCTTGGCCTCCACCTCCTCCACCTTGGCCTTCTCTTCCTCGGCCTCGTCCTCGCTCACCCCCTTGGGTTGCTACGGTCGCATGGTCGTCTCCTATAACTACTTGACTTCCCTCGATTTGATGATGATATTCAAGGTGACCGTAATCTACTTGTTCAAGGGGAATTTCCTCTGCACCTCCTCCCTGAAATGTCACCAAGAGCTTGTCTCCGGCCTGCACATTGCTAGAGATCATCCTGCCCTTCCACTTCTTGGTATTCGAAGAATTGCATGAATAGGTAAGAAATACCATTCTGGCACTATGTGAGCTGGAGTTGACATATGATTTGCAAGTATATAATTGTCAAGATGTCTCAAGCATAATTGGCTTCCTCCGTAACTTGTGCATGTAATTGGATCTTGAGTGGCTCAGGAAGGGCCATGGCAAAGTGCTCGAGCACTTGCTTCGCCCTATGATCGGGCACTTGGAGCAATTCGTCCATATAGGACTTCAGCGCGTGTACGCTCTCTTCTAATTCCCTCTATGTATGTTCAGAATCTTCTAGGCAGTTCGCCTTCCCCTTGTCATATCCTCAAATTTCTTATACATCGCATCTAAATAGATGTCTAAACGGGTGATGTGAGAGCTTTACAATGTCCCTCCTGCACCTTGCGTTCTTGATAAGGGAACTCGAATAATTGCTGCATCGCCGCCCAGACAAGAGGCGGCGAACATCTGTGTCTACCGCCGTACGTGTACGGTGGGTTGCTCATACGGTTGTATGTACTGGCCTGTACGAAGTGCCGACACCACGCTCCCCCCCCAAAAAAAAGAAAAGAAAAAAAAGGGTTGTGGAGCGTTTTGTGCTCTAGAGCCTCATATTTTTCTTTTTTCTTTGGTCTTTTTTTTTATATTTTCAAAAGCCAAAAATCATCAAAATGGGGAAAAAGAACAAGAAATAAAATTTGGTTAATTGATTGATTGATTGATTGATTGATGATTGATGATTGATTCAAAAAAAAAAAAAAAAAAAAAAAAAGCGCATCAGTGCGCAGCTATGTGAGGGAGCAAGTGCCCCCTCTGTCTCTCTGTCTCTCTCAGCGTGTGAGTGTGCATGTGCGGGAGAGAGAGAGAGA